AAACTATTCGAGTTGGTCTCACCAGAGAAAACTATTCGAGTTGGTCTAACTCCAAGATTTATCAACGAGCTCACAAAATGCATGTTTTGAACGCCAAAATAGATTTTAATCATTTGTCCATCTTAGTGACTGTGTGTTTGTCATATAATTGTTATAAAGTCACATTGAGTTTTCTTTAATTGTTTTTTTAATATATAATTTAATTTAGTTTTTCTGTTCAGAATATGCTCATCATTAGAATCAAAGTGAGCCCCAACCCAAACTTATTGATTATCTCTCTCGGCTGCATTATTTTTTGGTTTGGCTTCAATATGAAGTCATTAAAACAAGTACTTATTATCTAGTTTAATATTTATGTTTATGCCTGCTGTTATTTTTAAGCACTTTTTAATATTGGGCTCTCACGTTATTTTTACCCTGTAAATTGAAATGCATGCACTTGCAGCTGAGTTTCACCACCTGTTTTTGAACAGTTTGTCTTTGAGTTGTTTATCTGGAACCACACCCAGCAAGAGCCCCACACATCTGTTGAAATGTTTAACTTGTTACTTGATTCACTCATCATAAACTGTTTTAAGTGTGTCCTTCATTTTCTTCTAAATCACCAATCTCACATAATGCCATATTTGTCAAAACCTGAAAGTCATAGGTTTTGTGATTATTGAGAACTGAAATTTAAATATACAAGGTTATTTTTCCACATTTTTGTGTGTAATTGTTTCTTATTGTGTAGCTCAGTGGATGGGTTGTAATATATTAGTTTGAACCCCCAATTCTAATTGTTGCACATACCAGCAATTCTTCCATCTCTTCTTTCAGACTGTTGTGCAATTTTATTTTAACACCTCTGGCATCTTTTTTTAATTCACATCAGTCAGAGAGTCAGAGATTCTTTATTGTCATTCGCACCTCATGTGGTACATGTGGTGGAGCGAAATTATGTACACGGGGTCCCAGTTACATCCAACAATAAAATGTATAAGAAAAACAGTAATAACATCTAAGATATGAACTAAGAAAAACATCAACTAAATATACACTAAGCACTCATAACATAAAACATTGAACATCAGCACAAACATGAACATGAGTCTGTGAGCAGATGTGCACGCATGAACACAACATTGAAACAGATCAGCAGCAACATGAAACAGATCAGCAGCAACATGAAACAGATCAGCAGCAACATGATATGGTTTTTCACAGTGATTATTCTAGTTAGAGATTCATGAGTCTAACAGCCTCAGGGTAGAAGCTGTTCCTCAGTCTAGTGGTTCTACACTTAATGCTCCTCAACCTCCTTCCTGAGGGGAGTGGGGCAAAAAGTGTGTGCTGGGTGAGTGTGGTCCTTCATGATGCAGGTGGCCCTCTTCCTGCATCTGGAGGTGTAGATGTCTGTGATGGTGGGGAGACTGACTCCAACATCTTCTGTGCAGCCTTCACCACTCTCTGCAAAGCTTTTCTTTCTGCAGCTGTGCAGCCTCCATGCCACACGTTGATGCTGGAGCACAGGATGCTCTCCACTGCACACCTGTAGAAGGAGGTGAGGACTGAGCTTCCAGACCAGCTCGCCTCAGCCGCCTGAGGAAGTAGAGTCTCTGATGAGCTTTCTTGATCAGGCTGGTGGTGTTGTTGCTCCAGCTGAGGTTGTTGTTCAGGTGCACACCCAAGTACTTGTAGCTGGAGACCACTTCCACTGCAGATCCTCTTATGTTCAGGGGGGTGTAGATGTTTTTGTTCCTTCTGAAGTCCACAATCATCTCCTTTGTCTTCTTCATCATTCATCATACGTCATTCAATTTGTAAAGTTGCAGTGCTATAAGATATGAACATGAGGATTTGCTTTCTGAGTAAAAAAACATGTTTGTAAACCATTAATTCTTTCAGTGACTTGCCAAAAGAGATGAAAGTTTCTCTAAGAATTTCATTAAAGTTTAGGTCTGATCTGAACATTTCTCCCCCCCCCCCCCCCACACACACACACACACAAGCAATTTGTCTAAATTCCTCAAACTTCAGTTAATTGCATCTATCTTGTTAGTTATGATATTCACTTAGGAAATACACTGTTTTTAAACTAAATGGTAAATGGACTATACCTATACAGCTCCTTTCTATTTTATTTCAAGATACTCAAAGCTCTTTACAACAATCTGTGCCTCATTTACCCATTCATGCAGCTCTATACTAGATCTCTACAAAGCTAATTGAACAAATTCTAATGAGACTGATCAGAGCTTCATCACATTCATACACTGATGGACACACATCAGAGGCTATGAGAGGTTCAGTGTCTTGCCCAGGGACACTTCAGCATGTGACTGCTGGTGGATTCGAACCCCCAACTCTTGCATTGGAGGACGACCGCTCTAACCTCTCAGCCACAGCCTCCCCTGGAAAGGAAAGCCTTTTTTTAGGGGTGCATCGGCCCCGAGTTCCTTAATTATCGGAAATCGGCCGATACTTGCATGAGAAACCGATTTTACAGATTAATTTTTTAACAATTGTCTGAACTTCATTAATATTTCAGAGCACTACCTCATGGCCAGTTAAAACAAGTTTGTATTGTTTCTAGGATATTGTTCAAGGGGATGTTTTTCAGTAAAATAGTATTGGAAAGTTGAAGGTGCGTTGTGACCTTACAACACCTGACGGTGTCGCTTCTAAAACAAAATCGCAATCGGCCGGTCAGACTTTTTAGAAATCGGTGATCGGCCTGAAAATTGCATTCGCTGCACCCCGACTTTTTTGATGATCTTTAAATAACCAAATATGTGCTGTTTTTGTATTACATGATTTGTTATACAGCTGTTTATTTTAAAAAGTGGCTTAGAAATGGATGATTGACAAAATTGTAAATCAAACTTCTTGCAACTTGCCTTTTAAAATTGCTCCTCCTATAACTGCATTTACTCTTGAACAGTGTTTCTAGCTGTTTTTCAGTGAGAGGTAAATCGCTGTGTGGTCTGAACGAGTATATTGAGGCTATCTCTGGCACAGTGGAACTCTGTGTGTGAAATCTGCTTCATTCATATGCTCAGTATTCAGAAAGTTTCTCTCTGACTCGACGGATTAAATCTGCCAAGCACCACGGCCCAGGAAACTCCCACACATGGTCTAACTAATATCTACTGCAAAATCAGTCCAACAGCTTCTTTTTCTATTGATTTACTTTGTTGTAGGAGCTTTAGCATTAATTGAAGAAAGTCTTAAGTTGGGATTTTTAGCACTTCTTCTTTTTGCAAGGGGCCAGAACACCATCTAAAATACGGTAATGTGGCACAAATATTATTTTTTTGTCTTGCAATGATGAAAGGATACATGCACTAATATTCCTATGCAGCGTTGCAGTAGAAACTGAGGCAAGGCGATGAGAAAACAAGCACGAGTGAAAGGACACTGGTGTGTGATGGTACCGAGTACTTACTACTGACTGAGCACAATAAAGAGATATGGAAAAATGCTTTGAGCCATTGATTACCGGTAGTTCGTGAATAAATTATTTGCTTTCCCTCAGCATGTCTTCTCATAATCCTAGGTTTCCCTCATGCAGATATAGGATTTAGTTTCATTGGATTAATGCCCAGCAGTGCAGCATCAAATCAGCTCATCGTGATAAGCAGATTCATTATATTTCTTCAATGTTGCCCATATAAAGCTTCTTTGCATGGTCTTTTTACTTAAACATTCTATTTACAGAAGCAATGTAAGTTTCTGTAACATTGTTATATATTGATACATAAAAGTGTCGACTATAAAATGCCATGGTAAATGTTCAGTGAATTAAGTAATTATTATTTTTAAGCCTTTATTTTTCCAGGAAAGTATAGCAAAGACAGTTAAATAAGTAAAAATGGGACTTTTTGTCTGAAGTTGCCTTACATTTTGCTGCCTGTGCATTTCTATTTCTTTTTTGCAAGTGGGTTTTAAACATAGTACTACCATAAAATGGGTTTACCAAGATCTTGTGCTTTTACTAAGGTCAGGAGAAAGCGTGTCCTAAACTTTCATCTCCTGTGTTCTGCTGTGAAAGAGAGGAAGTTATCAGTTTTCAGAGCAGAAACTATTTTACGAGCCGTTTCTTTTGGTTGTGGTGGTAAACCCATCACACACAGTGACGTGAATATCAATTTGTACTTTGTAAAGCTACACTTTAAGCTTGGACACATAATGTTCAAATTAAGTTTTTAAGTTACAATTTTTTATTTTAACTGTAATAAGCCGTTCCTGTGTGGATGGAGCCGAAGTGTGAGTGTTTACATGTGTCTTGTGTGGGGTCATAAAGTTTCCATCAGCTTTTTACAGTAACGACACAGCAGTTCATCAACATCCAATGTGCAATCAACACGTTGGTTATTGTCATTCTTTTTCCCCTTTTGTCTCTGAACCAAAAGGTTTTTAACATGTTAAGATGCTCGTTTTTTAACCTAAATTTAACACAAACCACGTTGGCATAATGATGCAAAGTCAAGTCAGAACCGGGGGCGCTGAACTACTGCAGGTCAATCAGTGTCAGTGTTTAGAAGGTCTTCAGAATCTTACCCTGAGCTAATTATAATAGTTCTTTCCAGTTTTGCTTCCAGTTAAAATGCGTGTGCATCTATTTCTCAGGGTGGGAATCACTTTGACCAGTATGAAGACGGTCAGCTGGAGTTGGAGCAGGCATCTCTGGACAAACCCATCGAATCGGTAAGGTTGCATTTATCATCCTGTGCCATTGGGCCAGCTGTGAGAGTGGATATGATTGGTCCAGGGAGGAATAAGGGCTACGTTTTTACTCCATACTGTCTGTGTAGACGCATTCATTATTACCTTGAACAAACTTGCCACGTACCCTGTAGACTCACGTAGTTTTCATTAATACTTTTTAAATTCCTCCAGCTTCTCATGTCCTCTGCATTCTTCATTTCAGTGTGACATTGAAAATAATTTTGTATAATAGATTTTTCTGTTTTAAGTAGAGCTTAGAAAATCATAGGATTTTTTAAATTTTTGTTTGTCTTACATTGTTAGTCATCTTAGTTCAATGAGATCTTTCTGTAGTCGTGGAGTGGATGAAGCACTGTCATTAAAAGCTGTTATCTTAATATTGTAGCTGCTCAACACTAAAATGATTGATGTGGACAAAAAAGGTTATACCTTGAAATGTGTAGATTTAATTCTGGGCACTGTATGGAGTTGTATTGACTTAGAGCTGTACGAAATGAACTTCTTTGATATAAAGGAATCTTTTTTTTTTTTTTACAAGATTTTAAATAGAAAGTTTTTCAGCTTGATCTTCATAGATAAAGCCCAAATACAAAACAAGTACATTTAATTTGAGATCAGACATGGATGAAATAGCCAGATGGCTAACGTTGTAAATAGGATTGTTATACATCATATTAAATTGATCAGTTAAACAAACACAAGCAGTGCTTATTCCACCCCATTTAGCTACAAACAATTGCACATTAGATGATAATAGTTAGATTTGTGTTTGAATGAATGTTTATCTATGTAGCTTTAGCATATTTGTGCTAGTCTATAGTATTTTTATCTATAGCACCGTTATCTTATTGTACACAACTTGGGGTGTTCGACATTTCTCTCCTGCAGCGAATTGGCTCCCTATTAGCTAAGCAGCAATGGCCCGGTTTGTATTTGCACGCTCTGCTTCCTTACTCCTCTCTTTAGGGTCCTTGTAACGCTTCTCTGACAGTCTTTTTCTCTCTACCTCTCTTGTTTCTGTTTCACAACTGTCACTCTTGATGTCTGTTCTCTCTTTCTACCTGTGCTTCTCTTTTGCTCCCTCCCTACTACACAGTGGTTCGGTGTACAGTACCCTCTGTCATTCTGTGCTGGCATGGTGCTTGTGCAACTGGGACTGCATTTTTTGCTGAAGAGGCACATTTATAATGGCGCAGGAGGCTCTCTGTCTGTCTTTATTACTCTCTGTACCCCACTTCTGTCTCTGAAGCTTTGTGGTGAGCAGGCCAAAACTCTGCCTTCAAGATAATCGGACAATAGTACTGTTTGTGATGCACTTTGTGATCCAGATTGGTAAGCCAAACATACACACATTTTTAAATTACTAATTGTAAATCAACTTTTGGTTCACAGTTTCTAGCAGACATAAATTACCACGTGTACTTATATTTAAATTAAAAAAGCTGTATGCCTCAAACAAGTCTTACCGAGCATTTCTTGAGTTTTTAGTTAATAAGGAGATTCAAGAGTACGTGTTTTCTTGAATCCTAACAGTAAATCATGGATAACAAAAGGTTTCACTTTATGTGAAACTTCATTGTGAAGCTCACTTCATGTGGGCCGTAGAGGAGAAGCAGAAAAAGGTGGCCTGCTTGCCTGGCTTGAGCATCTCTACTCCTGTGCTGTTATTTGTGGAGGGGGCTGAGGGCCATGTTGCAGCATTACACAGCTCATCTCACGTCTGTGGCAGAGCTGCAGCAGCTGCCAAGTAGTCACTAGTGATAATAATCAGTCCCTTGAAATGTTTTCTTTGTTGAACTATGGACTTTTAGGCAAACAAGAGGTCAGGAATAAATATATGGAGATTCTTGATCTCCTGGATTTTTGTAGCTTCTTGAAAGAAGAATAGTAGGAAATATCTTAAACAATCTTTAAATTATTTTCAGAAGCGAATGAGTATTTTATTAACCTCATGCAGTGTTTTCCCTACCATTATCCAAGGAGGGCACCCTGTCGTGTCCGCAGAACCGAGCGCCTTGCCTACCAAACCCCCCCGCCACCGTGAGTTCTGCTAACAATCCAGGAGCGAACATTGTTGACAAGGACCGGTCGCCACAGGACAAGTGGCTTTGATCTGGCATTAGTAACGTTCTGCTAAATCCCCCTTCTTGGTGGACAACCACCAGCATTTGTAATGTAGCGCTCTGCTGCTCCCCCCATTTGACAAGCGCCCTGCCAAGACCAGTAATTTAGGGTAAACACTGTTATGCCTCATGATATACTTTCTGGAAAGATCTGTTGCACAATTATATACATATTTTATACATCATAATTCTAAAGTAAAATTTTAAATGTACAGGTCTGGTCTTGACTCTGTACATCAAATCTCAAGTGGAGTATTTGTCCACTAATGTTACATGTTAGAGTTTGTAACGAATGCTTCAGCCTAGCTTCTCAAAGCCCCCCCCCCCATGCCATTTATTGTGTGTGAGTCTTAGGCAGCTGGAAGTTTGTGGTCTTTTATTGGGATCTTTTTCTCTTCTTGTCCTTCCTCTTGGTCTTTGCTATTTTTTCTCTTTACACTGTTTTTGCACTGCATGTGTTAACTTGGTAGCATTTAGTACAATGTTTTCCAACGATCTGTCTTAATCATTACTAGAGTTTTTTCTCCCAGTCTCATTCCTCCATGTCTTTTGCCCTTCCCAGTACCTTAAACCCAACATCCTTACTTGACCCAGTACCACAGCGATATGCAGTGGGCAGCCTCAGAGCCACAGAAACAGGAAATTTGAATAGCACATCAGAGCTGGCCACTGTAAAATTTAATTATTGTTTTTATTGAATTAGTCAAACTGTGTCCAATGCATTTAGCATAGCCTAATTTGACTTTATTAGCCTTTGTTAGCTTTCTCTGAAATGTTTGGGATTTTACTTTATATCTATTATTTTACATAAATGTCCCCATAAAGATTTGAATTGTTACTAATTGAAGATAAGGAATTAAAAAAGTTCAAAGCAACCATATAACTGGCTGACCCACTTATTTTAGATCATCATGGGCTCTACATTTGGTATTTGTTTAATCCAGTGGGTGGAAGAGTTGTGGTCTTAGCAAAGACCCATTCCCAACACCAAGTGCATTTGTTTTATATGCGATAAAAGCAAAGATAAAATGATCTGAAAAGAGAATAAAAATAGATTTTACTACATTATTTAACTACAATTTGATAGATTTTCCCCTCGGATTTGTGGCTTCAGAAATATGTGGTAAGTATCTTACTTTTAAATCTTTTTAACTTTTAATTATGTAATCAGACCCATTTCTCTATAACATAGCAGTTACTTCAAACATGAAATAAGTCTTTTATTGCTTGAGACTGAATGTAACACATTTTTCTTTGTTCACGTGGGACTTTAGTTTCACTCATTTGCCTCTCGTGGATCTCAGCAGTTGTTTCTATCGAATCTCACGTGTCAGTCTGACACCGACCAGGAATGTACCAAACCCTGAACTCAAGGAAGAAGTTAAAACGTAAAAAGAGCCACAGCTAGCTGAGCCTGTTTACTAGCAGCTTATTCTCCATGATGCAGAGTTTGTGACACTTTCAAACTTGCAGAATGTGTGATCATTTGCTAAAACAACACAAAATTAGCCTTTTTCTTTGTTCAGACTTACAAATATATACTATTGTGCCTATCCCCAATATAATAAAATAAGTTCTTATTTTCAGACAGACACAAATCATGCACATACTGTGTTATTATAAAAAGGGGCATATACACTAAAACATTCAGACTAAATTATCTGAGGTCTGTAGGTGGAGTCCCCTGCATATCACTTCTATCCATGTTTTATTTTACCATGCGCTGTGCTAATGACAGCACAATGCATACTTTTTAAACACCCCTTATAGATGTCTTTTGATTTGATTACTTTTTTTCTCCTGCATTCACAGTCAGTTGGTGGATTTATTGAAATGTCTGCCTTTTCTGTTTTTACACAGTATTGTTTACTTAAAGGCAGAGAGACATTTGTATTTGTACGAACTAGAGAAGCTAGCAGAATTACAGTTGAAAGCGTTTGGCCGGTTTCTTACGTTGTCACGTGTGACTGTTTTTTTGACAGCCCAGTATTTTAAAGCCAGGTTCGTATGGAAATGCCTTCACTCCACTTGCACTGCTGTTGGACTCGCCGTCGTTGCTTTCATCCGTCTGTCTGTCTATTCTTTTGGTGCACTCTTGTAGTCAAACACTCAGTCTGCACATCATCTCTGGCCTCAAAACCTTTGCTGAGCCCATTTGGACCTAATCTCTTTACTGTCAACAATTATAAACTGTTGTCCCACTCTCATCCAATCTGCTCTACCTGTTCCTGTTTGAAATCATTAAAAATAATAAAGAGATGAGCAAGATGAAACACATTTGATGTAGGACAGGGCATTCAGATGTTTACATGTTTGAACCTCTGCACTTATCCAACATTGGTAATGAAAAATAAATGAGAGAACATTAAAAAGGTTGAGCAAGAGTTTTCTCAGCAGGTAGTGCTGAGTGTATTTTAATCATCCTTTTCTTTTAAGTTGACTTCTAGAGTGTTGCTGCATTATAAGGACAATAAAGTATCAAAAGACAAAAGTGGGCAATGTGGAAGCAGCTGTAGTAATAATTACTGCAACTCCCTTTTAACTTGGGTGGTATAAAAGAAACTGCCAAGCAGCACACACCAAGTCATGAGCTCAGTTTTACCTACAGTCTTCAAATATCTGAGCTGATTATTGTACATGTCTCCAGTTGTCTTTTAACACGTGAGGCCCAGGACGGATGCATTTTACTCTTTCTATGGAGAAAAGAATCCAAACATTAAAGTATGCCTCATAAATAGGCAAAACAGAAGTACAAAATGCCAAACTCTTGAGAAATAGGAAAGTATGGACTTTAGCAACTCTCTAAAGTAGGGCTGCACGATATTATCGGCATGGTATCGGTCGATATTAGTGATAGTTAAATATCGGACATCGACCATTCCATCAAACTAACTCAAGGTGCTGTTATTATATAAGGCGCTGTTTTAGTATGACAACGCAGTGACAAGGACGCCTGCAGCGCCAGCACGTTATGACGTCACGCACGTCCTTGAGCTTAGATTTGTGAAAATTGACAAATGTGCACTGTTTGAGTGTTGTCATTGTGTTGGAGTAAATGTCATGAATACATTTGACATTAAACATAATCCAAGTTGAAGTGTTGCATCATCTTCAGCCCCTTTTTGGCATCTGCATTTGTTAGCAGACCAACTGACAAAGACCGTGCAGAATAATGAAGTTTTAATTCCACAGCAGAGAAAGCTCTTTAGTCTCTGTAAGTAGGTCTTGGGGAAAAATGTCGATATTGGTATATCGATTATCGGCCAAATAAGTTCTAACATATCGACATATCGGCCAAAAATCCAATATCGTGCATCCCTACTCTAAAGTACGGAGCCATCAGCCAGCTATATGATTAGGATTATGTATTTTTCTGGTTGGTTGGTAAAATATCTGTTCACGGTGTTATCGTGAGATTTTTTCTTTTCAGAATATTTTAAATGAAGCAAAGGTTGGCAACAGTTTGAACTAAAAACTGATTTAAAATAAGAAGTAAAATTCTTCCCAATAGTTTGTTTTCTCACTTCTTCAGGGTGGAGATGCAGTGTATGCTCTGTGTTTGAGACCCCTTCCTTCACATTCTCTAACCCATTACAAGCCCAGCTCACCTCCACCACCTGAAAACGCACCCTCATCACGGCTCAGCCTGCTCTGTTCTGCTTTTCCTGACCTCGTGTCCAAGAGGTCATCGAGCCCTGTTGAGCCAGCACCTTCCTCACTGTGCCTGATCCACCTGAGACTAACACAGCTGGAGTTTTGTTAACCTTCCCTCCCCCTCAGCCCACCCTTCTGAATGTGTTCACAGTGCTACTAACACCGACGACCCTTTTTGTTAAAACGCTTTAACAAAAAGCTGCATGCTGTTTTGTTGTTGTTTGTTTTATTCATATCCCCTCACTTTCCGTTTGTGAAAGTTTGTCGATCTCTTTGTGATTATAAATATCCTTTCTGTTTGGTTTGTATGGTTTTGATAGAATGCAGCATTCTGGTGAATGTTAGACAAGCTTGGAATAGTTATAATCACAACAGAAATGCTGCTTATAAAGAAATGTCATTGTTTCCTGTTCTTATGCTTGAGGATGTACTGTAGTGTGTAGTGGTGGGATGGTCTTGCATTTCACTTAAATGTTTTTATCTTGCTGACTCATACTAGTGGTTTAATAATATTTAACGTGCACATTTGGCCCCACAGTGTGCTAGCAATTGCTGTTGTGTATGTTTTTGTAAGCCTTTCTCATTTCTTTACTTATTATCAGCTTGACCACATTGTTGGTCTTAGTGTTTCCTGTAGGCTTGGATAAGGTAGACATTAACATTAGTAGACGTTGATATTAGTAGAAAAACTATATACCAGTAGGTAGATAACCAAAGTTATTGTAAGTGTCCAAATATTAATTATAAGAGGTTATTTAAAGTTGTACAAACTGTATACATTCTGTAAAACCAAAATTAATTTAAATGAAATATGTAAACTTAATTTAAAATGAACTATCAGTAAAAGATGGAGAGAAAAATAGAAAGTGTCCAAAAACGTATACAACAGTGAATTGAGTCGATTTTGATTGCTCTCCAAACGGGCTGTGCACGCCTCCACCTGCGCACTTACATATCCCTCCACATATGCAAAGTCTGTCCACCCTGGGCCTTGTAATGGTAATCCAAGGCTCATTAGCTCCACTTCTGTCTCTTCCTCTTGCTGAAATATTTTTGTGACCGCTGTATGTTTCATGGTGCTCCTTTTGTCATGGTTACAGAATCACAGCAAGCTTGGAGTTTTTTGGTCTTTATTTTGTTATTGCTAGATCTCCATACCTGTTTCGTGTCACTTTTCTTTGTGTACTAAGATCTTCCTCTGTAGTGGATCATATATGTATGTGTGTGATGCATACAGTTCCCTCGCCTTCCTCCTTTTTAACTCCGCACTTAGTGGATGAAACTTGATGTGTTATTTTAATCATAAATAATCAACGTTCTCATTCCCATTTTTTGCTTGCCAAACTTTTTTTTAATTGCACTCCTCAGAATATCTTGTAATTCACAGGGGACATATAGTCTTATGCATTTATTTAAAATGGCAAAAATCCTTCCCTACATCTCAAGTCTCCCAGCCTTAATCCTTCTCCCAAACTGCCCTAACACACCTTGTGCTGGAAGACACCGACTGTTACACGCTGTAGGTGACGACAGTAATGATAATGGTGGTGGTGGTGGTGGTTGTGCTGATGATAGTGTAATTTAAGTGTTTTGTTTTTATTTGTTTGCATCCATGCCCACAGGATATAGCTGTTCTTATTATTGGAATATTGTTGGTCTTTTCTTCTGTTTTTTCTGCTAGGATAACATCGGGCACCGGCTGCTTCAGAAACATGGGTGGAAATCTGGTCAAGGCCTTGGCAAAACCATGCAGGGTAAGAATGCACTCTGAACAACGTTATACACGTTGGTGGTGCTGAGCCACCACATCCTGTCATTTTATTTCCACCTGACATTTTCAGGTTTTCTTTCTGTACTTGCAGATTTTAGTTTCTCTTCACACCCTTCCTCTGACCATTTCCGTTTGTCTTTTTTTGTATACAGTATGAAAGGTTCATGATCCAGTAAATAAATACATAAAAACTTCTTTCAAGTTGTTTTTGTTGGTCTTATACTGCTGCTTTCGTGAAGATAAAGTGTAAAAAATGTTCCTGGAGGTTTGTTGGTTAAGATTGAGGGAGGAAACCCTACAGGCTCGAGGTGGTGGTGTTTATTGGTGTTGCACTGATGCATTTAGTTTACAGCAAACTGGGCTGGAGCTGTCAACATCCAGCTTAGAGGGAACTCACACGTGAGCAAGAGATTCATTAATTCACCTCCTGTACGTCTGGCCTTTTGCTTGAAACATTAGATTTAGCTCACGTGTTTGGGTTTGTTGCAGGGGCTAAATGTTGCTGCTGTTGAACCTCTTTGTTTCCTCTCTGCATTGGGCAATCGCATATCATTTACAGTAGACTTCTTCAAGCATGAACGCAGTGGTAGTGTTTGACTGACCACGCATGAATGTTTTATGGACCTGCAAACATGTGGACTTTGAACAGCATGTCATATTTTCCACATCGGGCTGTAGCGCAGCACATGCCAGCAGTGAGATGCTATAAAGTAACGTTTCAATACAAGTACAGTTAATTCTATTTAAAAAACTGTCCTTCCACATTAAAGAAGTAAAGTTTCTCTGGGTCATTCTGTGCAGTTAGTCAATAATGACCGAACATAGCTCAATGTGTGCGTTGGTCTTGGCTGATGTTAGCACTTCATTGGCTTAAATCTGCTGTGCTCATAGGCTCCAAGGCAGTGGTGCAGTTTCCTTTCTCTTTTTCGTCATCTGCTTTCCTGGTCTCATTATCCTCCTCCTTTCAAACTTTTTTCCTAACCATTTCTCAAATTCTGGCTCATCTAATGTTCTCGGCAAGGATGTTGTGTAGTTTTGTGTACACATGTCGTCTCTGACAGGCTGAAGATGTTTAGCAGTGAGTTAAGGAGCTGTATTTCTACAAGTCTTTAGTGTTGTCTTTCCTCCACCATGTCCTGCTTTATCGTTTGTAGACAAACCATTTCAGCAATTTTTGCCCTGTTCATCTATTTTTATTGTGAAATTGCCACTTGTGCTCACTTGCATTTCTTTGTCTGTAAATCTGCCAATAACATCTGTTTTAAATATTAATTTAATTAAAAGCATATCCCATTTTGTAAAATAAAAACGGTTTCCAACACAAACCCAAACTATCGACATTTTTTCATTCAAACATACTAGTTTTGTAAAATAACCAAGCAGCTGAAATTAAGACTGCACATTGAACGATGCAGGTTTTTTATTCAGACGTGCGCTGCCTGATTTGTACTGAAGGGTATTATCTTTTAGCCTGCAGTACTATATTTCACCTACAGACAGAAAACTGCTGTCTTCTCTTGACTAAAGGGCTGTATTTTTCTTGTGCCACAGCTCCTACAGGCATCGGTGTGAATGTTTTAGAATGAGACTTGGTTGTTTAAATTTACCATTTGGATTTATCGATCTTCAAGCGGCGTCACGTTGAGTTAAAGTGCCTGGTGGAGTGGTTTTATAGCTGTGCTGTTGTACCCTCTTTTGTTCATGTACATATATGGCTTTGGCTCGTTGTGTTGTCTCAAAGGTATTTTCAGCCCACCCATATCCAGGGAACCAAACAGAAATGGAAGCTGCTTGATTCCGGGCAGGCTGACAACACATCAGAAATTTCAGAGCTCAGTATTCACCGTCCACGGATGTTTGTTTCCTTCTGGCCTTGACGAGCTGAATAGCAATCTATTTGACATGATAAGGCTGAGTTTTGTGTGGAGGGGAGAGCACATTGCAGAGGCTGACTGTGCTCTTGTTTTGGCCTCTGGCACCGTTCATGCAGTTATGCAAGCATCCCACATTCTGGGCAGATGAGACTGCAGCAAACTGCGTCCAGTTGTTGTCTGAATTGAAGTCGGAGGTGGCGGTCTCTGTTCAGGTTTGCAAGCAGAGCTTAAGAGTTGCTCCCAGTAATCACTCCATCATGTCATCGACGTGTGCAGGATAATCACGCTATCCTTTCCTCTCCTTTCCTATTGTCCTTGCCAGAAGAGACAGCTGTTGACATTTGAACTTGCAGCATTGTCCCCTCTTTAAGTTTTTCACTGTATTGACTTTGTTCTTATTCTTCTTTTGTCCCTTTTGCCCCTTTTTTAGGTAAGGTTTGTTGGATCCCTTTTGTATGTCACTATGCATGTGTGGGTGTGTTTTCTTTCTCCCACTCTGCAGCTGACCTCAGTGTAACATCCCTTTACAGTGTATTGTAGGCTAATGGCCTCTGTCAGCTTCTTCCTCTTTGCTTCATAATCACTAAACCTTTATTTGAATCTACTTAAGAGTAAAGTCTTCTGATTTGTACAGAGAATCAAGATTATGTGAAATCAAGGTAGATCTAGGAAGCCATGATTCCATTACATCCCCTAAAATCATCATCTTGACATATTTTAGATTTTGTTTTTCCTCTTTGAGTTTCCGTGGCTGCTGTTGAGTAATCCGATTGGCTGTAACCACGGCTCAGACTTTGAATGGCTTGCAGTGTAGACAAGTTTCTCCCTTCTGCTTGTTTACCTGTCTCTACCTCTAAAACTGTAAACTTGTGTGTGTGTGTATGTGGCCATTATGTGGAACTGAGTTGTGTGTGTCTGCTACTTAACCGGGCCATAGAGTCGACTTACAGGGAACACACCTCCGCCTGGTACTCTCCGAGTGTCTCTGTCCCCATGGTTACAGGCTTCCATCCTCCCCCCATTCCTTTGCCCCTCCTGCACAGCATGTTTGTCCCAGAGGTGCACTCCTGCCTGCCTCAAACTGTCACTCACCTGGGGCTTTAAGCAGTGCTGGAGGTAAATCACAGAAGCACCACTTTCATAGTATAAAATAAATTGTTATTCTACAATTGGGTGCATAGATTTATGTATTTTTTGTCCACTTGTACTTAATCAAAGTTGTTTTATAGTAATACAAAACCCACTCTAAGCACTGCCTAAAGCTAGCCCTTCTTCCAGGTACGTTGTTACACTTTGTTCATTTGTTGCTTCATTTGGGTTTAGCACGTCACAAACTGCTTGTTGGCCGTAGGCTGGTGAGGAGTTCAGATCTCAGGAGATTTGTGAACTGGGTTCACATCTTCTGCAAGGCAAGAATCTCAGAGGGGGAAAATGGTGGTCGTCCCTAGAAGTATTAATCAAATGAGGCCAGATGTTTTACTCTAGATTAAAATACAAAAATCTGTCACCTTGTCAGAGCGGGAGATCCCCTGACTTGACTTTTTTTTTTTAATATTCCAATATTTATGCTTCTCTCACAGAAGTACTTTTCCACATGTATATATTTTTTCTTTTGACCCTAGGTACAATAATGTTTTCACAGACATACATACACAGAGTAGATCCTGTTTGCTGTTATAGATGTTTTTCCACTACAGGCCATTGAGGATCAGTAAACTGGAGCTATTATTCTATCTTTATACGATATTACTAGTAGTCTTTGCTTTTACATTGATAATTTACAAACTGGTCTGGATCAATTAAAAAAGGCGTATGGAGTTCGAGACGGTGAATTTTATGCATGTTTAAAATGTTTATTTTTCCTTTTTTTTTTTTGTTGGAAATCTAAGAAGGTATCATGCATGCACATAACCAACACTGCTAGTTGTCCTTTCTTATTGGCAACGACGTACAAATAAATCTGTCCAGTTGTTAACCAGTGCCTACGAAATGGCAGCCACCACTGTTCCACTGCGTCATGTTGGGTTGAAACAAATGCGTCATCTGTTAAATAAATATATCAAAGTTACTTGTCCCAGTGTCCTAGTAGTGGAATGACTTAGTCTTATGGGATGGTTGTCTGTTTTTGTTGATTTATTTTATTGGGGGGGCACTTTTATCCAGAAAGCATGATGACGCCACTTTAAGGGCCTGGGGACTTGGACAAGCGGTTTGGATTAGTGGTAAGAGGAAATCCCTGTAAGCACCTAGCCCTGAATGAAGGAATGGGGTGGGTGGGGGGGGGGGGTGACACATGGAAGCCCCCCTCTGGTAAAGAATACCCTGAAACCCCACAGTCACACTCCCAACCCCACCCTCCCTTCTCTATGTGCCTCAATCTTCCTGCTTAACCAATTGGTGTTTCTTTTTTACAGCGATTTGATCCTGCCCATGTTGTGCTGATGGTAAACTTAGTGGTAAATGTTATTTTATCCCCGAATTGATTTTTTTTGTTTGTTTGTTTTTAATTTTTCCCATTTTATTTTATTTTAATTTTTCTCTCATCAGAGCACCAATGCTACTTAGGCTTTCAATTCTCTCCGTCTTAGTCCTCATTCTGCTGCTTGTATATTACCATGCATCTGTATTACTCTTAGAACATTGTCATTTTGTTTGTTTTCAGTTTTTTAACCTTGTGATTCACACCTTGTGATTTAGATGCACACTGTTTTCTTGTCTGGTCCCTTTGTTTTCCACTGGAATGGGTCATGTGGAAGTATCGTCACTGTGTTTAAAGATTGGTGATAGTTTGGGATGACAGCGGTTGTTCGTGAATTTCCAGTTTTCTGCCTTGCTTGTGACGGTTCAGACAGACCGCTGCAGTGGCTGCTAAACAGACCAGACTTTGGTTTCACTTCTCTGTCACGTTCTGTGAACGAGTGTGAATCCACACATTTATCAGTAATTGTGTGATCTTAGTATCAAACCGTCTCTCCCAGTTCTTCGATTGAGGAAACCATCAACAATTGCAGAGTTAGATGTTGGACCAAGAGCTTTTCTGGCTGAGAGACACTGCAGTGGGACTGAATGTCCAGGCAGGCTTTACATGTTACAATGGCCATGCATCAATTATATCAGGATAAAAAAGGTCATTGGGCTGTGATGACTAAATTTCACAAAGAAACCACAAATGATGTCAGTTTCTATACTTTCCTGTTTAGAAAGGTGTAAAGTCATAAATTTAAGTTTTAAGCAAAACAGAAATCCTGAAAAGGATTTAGGATTTGGTATGCATACACATTCGGTCTATTCGTGTTAATTTTTTTAATTTAATACAGTTTGAAGTAAAGCGCTCTGCAACAGAATGAGGGAAAATGAACAAAATGGTCGGAAAGGTATTATAACAATTGTTCATTACTATACCGTGAGCTGTAGTTTCCTCATAAGCCCAATGGCAGAGTTTTAAAGAAAAAACTAACAAGTATGTGGGAGGGGAAAAAACTGAAACCAAACTAAATTGATAATCACTATCAGTAAGATTGGTTGTATTTGGCTGGCAACAGGAGCAGCAGAGTAGTCCAAATTCTTTTTGAGATTCCCCTGTCTGTCTGTCTGTCTGCCTGTCTGTCTGTCTTCCCTTCTCCTACTCATACCCATGTTTAACAGGTAAGTATCCCCATCCCTTGCACTGTCACCATGGCAACGTCTGGCCTGTGACATCACTCTGCTGTAGTTCAGTGCTTGTGTCTTCTTTATTATTTACCTTCTCTCTGCTTTGTTTGGCTGATTATAAGTGGATTAAGCAATTTTTTGTGTCAATCTCTAAAGTAGTTTTGATTATTATATATATATTTCATATCTTTAATGTTTTGTTCTTTTTTTTTTCCTTTTGGTTGTTTTTTTAAATTATTTTATTTAATTTATTTTTGTTTGTTTCAAATTTTTTCAACAGTTAATTTCCTTCTGCTCTAGCTCTTTTCACAGCTTACATGACATAGATTTACCAGATGGAAAAATAATCTTTCGCCTCTCATCGTGATAAAGAAGAGGTCTTGCGACAGGTGAACACATCTGGACCTCAGAACAGTTGTTAATCAACATGCAGACAGTTTAGCGAAAGATGATGCAATAGTCCTCGGATAACGAGTTTTCTGTTCCTCTTTATGGAGGACGTAGCGCTGGTACCATCTGTGCAGGCTTGTTGCAATGCAGAAACACCACACATGGTTCCTTAAGCTGTAGCATCATTTATAAACTTGGCATTCTCGTCTAACAAGACTTCAGCAAACAATAAATAGGGAATTGGGTGTGGGTTGGACAATTAAACTGGAAAAATAGGGAAACAAGTCAGCTACAGTTGTTTTCTGCTTATATATATTGCTGGGCAGTTCCTGATGGTCTCGTCTAACAAACCAACAGCTTTGTCAAATTGATCATTTTTCAGTAGTTGGCAGCAGTAAGCTGTGAGAATGGCTGGTGTTTGGTTCACTGTAGCTTTCTGGTCTCTTTGCACTTCAAGGCAAAACTCTCTAACCCCAGCACCCTATGCTCTAAAAGCAGGCTGTCTTCGAGTAAGTCCTTTGTCCCAGTCTCAAGAACTCAAGCAGTCCTTTTTGTCTCTTTTCTGTCAGGACGCACAGACCCTGTGCCCATTATCCTTAAATATGATGTCATGGGGATGGGCCGCATGGAGATGGAGGTAGGACGCCCAATTCATCCTCTTGTGTTCTTGGGTTCATGTTGCGCTTATTGGGACAAGTTGTAGAAGCAAAGTTGAGTTGTTTTATTTGGTGCAAACATTCATCTGACTAATCCAACTGTGCCTGTTCACAAGACTGTTGGTGTTGTCTTACCAATAAACATTAAGTGAAAATGTATATTACAGAAATAAAACACATATGCCGAAAAAAAAAACCTTTAAAGTTTCTGAAGTTGAGTTGTTTGAAGCTCAGTACCGTTGTGGTCGTTGTGGCTTAATAACTTGAGCCAAGTGCATATTTGTCACTGCTGAGGAGATATAACATGAATTATTTCCTTTACAGTCTCGTAAAGATACATCGTGTACAAGATCTTGTTCTGCGCTGTCATTTAACCGTCTTTAGCACAAAGCACGTTTCACGCAGCGATGACAAACACTGAACAAATTAAAGACCTTTGTTTCAATCAGTTCAATTTATTTATATTGCACCAAGTCACACAGAAGTCGTTTCAGGGCGCTGCACAGAAACATTCATACGCATAAAAAGTAAGTTAAGATTATTTATCTGAGGAGCAGACTGCTTTGAGTTTAACTTGATCAGACTCTCATCTTGTGCAAGCGTGAGAGCAACGGTGGAAAAACTCCCTCCCTGCAAACCTGACGTCTTAATGTTTAAAACACACGTGAGTTATAGGTCAGTGCTTCTGTTTAGAGGAAATAAATGGAAGCTGTCGTATAGTTCAAGTTTCTTTATTGTCATTCACATCGCATGGGACATAAGGTGAAACGAAATTATGTACTCCAGGTCCCAGTTACACCCAAAAATATAAAGTACAAGAAGAAACGGTATATAAGGATCTAAGATATACACTAAACACTAACAATGGCACTTAGTCAACAATTATACCCTGTCACTGCTTACCCCAGTAAATATGCAGATGGTTAATTTTTTATTCTTGCGTAACTTGGCATTTAAAAAAATGGTAATTCTTACTTTGCTTTAATGTTTGACCTTTATTTTACCTGCACGCCATTTATGCTCTGAGTAGGTATACATCCCTCAACGCAAAGTAATGGAAATGCACAGTAGCAAAAATATTCCACAAAACACACGTGCAAGAGAAATTTACCAGTTGAACTTGGCTTATTTGCATTTGCTTTCCAGACCGGTTGTCTACGCATCATGCTACCAAATCTAAACCAAATCTAAGTGACGTATAAGAAGATGTGAACTGCTGCTGGTATCTCATAATGTTAGAACTGCTGTTTGTCCTTGTAGTTGGACTATGCGGAGGACGCCACAGAGAAGAGAAGAGTGCTCGAAGTTGAAAAAGAGGATACAGAAGAGCTGCGACAAAAATACAAGGTGAGCTTCTTCAGGACTTGTGTAAATGTTGTGTTAAATGTAGCTGAACGCAAGACGAGCACTGTTGCAGAACTATTTCAGTTTGTACCTTTTTTAACTCATCGATTGATTCTTTCTCATAAATCTCACCAAAAATAGGATCAGGTGGAAAAGGAGAACGCCATTGCGAAGGCTCTCGAAGACCTAAGAGCAAATTTCTACTGCGAACTGTGTGACAAGCAGTACACTAAACACCAGGAGTTCGACAATCACATAAACTCCTATGATCATGCTCACAAGCAGGTATGAGTAATTTGTCAAGTTCTATAAACACTTCACACATGAATGGTGTAACAAAGGTCTTATTAAAACAGATGACTTGAATTTGTTCTTTTTAATAAAAAATCATTCGCTTTTCTGTTGACGCTTTTCACACCTTTATCGTGCACAACTGTCAGTCCCTGAAGAGTGCAAAATGTTATTCTTGAAAGAAGAACCGTAAAAAAATCTGCAAAGTTTTTGTAACAGTTGTTATGGTGTAGAGGCAGGGCAGCCGGCTTGGGACCCGAAAGTCCCAGGTTCGATCCCCAGTCACTGCACATCACGTGGCGTCTCTGGGCAGCACACCTCATCCCCAAAATGCCCCCCGGGCGCTTTCAATAGCTGCCCACTGCACCACCTGGTGGTGGATGGGTTAAATGCAGAGACTAATTTCGCCATTGTATGGAAACATACAGTGCTGACATTGTGATGACATTATTATTATTATTATTATTATTATTATTAATAGAGAAATATGTAGCAGCAGATGAACAGCTTTTTCACAACTTTCTGCAAGATGGAAGCTGCAAATGTTTGTGCATGTGTTATTTGTCATGCTCAGACTCTAGAAATAACTAAATGCTTCTGGTAATTGTAGAATAACCCATGAAGGAGGATGGTTTAGACAGTCTTGTTAATTATGAATGTAGTAAACGGATCGGTCTGATGACTCTGGACAGATGAGTAGTGATCAAGTTAAGCCATTGCTGCCATCTGATGTCACTGCAGTAATTCAGATTTGTGCTGTGGTGAAGGTGAAGCTCCGGTCCGTACATGTTGCCAGATTAAGCTAAGTCAGATTTCTGTGGCAAAATGTTTCAGAAATGCACCAGTAAGTCTTTACACACGACACCAACACTAGAATAATGGAAAGTGGTACAAGTGCAAAAGCAGCTACAATAATACAAACCTGTTTTCATTTTCAGCACATTAATAAAAATGCTAGCGATCCTGACACGCTTTGTTTTATTTTTCCTTCCCGTTTCTTTGATGTTGTGCAGAGATTAAAAGAACTGAAGCAGAGGGAGTTTGCTCGTATTGTGTCGTCCCGTTCTCGGAAAGATGGGAAAAAGCAAGAAAAGATGCTGCGGCGACTGCATGAGCTGGCGGAGCAGAGGAAACAAGTCAAACAAGACCGGTAAGAGCCCATTACTGTACTGGAGAGTCGTCTGCTGGCTGAACTGGAAACTGCAGCTGTAGAAATAATGTTTTGAGCTTTTGATAATCATTCTGTCTTTTTAAAGTCAAACTCACAATGTTTGATCATTTTCTTTTACTGAGGGTGAAAATATGTTTATTAGCAGAGCCTTACTGTCCTACGTAATTATGCAAGATTTCATTTTTGTGGCCTATTTCATTTCTTCAACAAGAAGTAACAGCTGTTAAACCTGGTACCATACTTGTGTGTTTTAGAACGCCTGGAAGTGGACCCATGTTTAAAACAACCACAGTTGCTGTTGATGGAGAAAAAGCTGAAGATTGTGACAGCATGACACCTGAGAACCCCACTTTGACAGACACCATCTTAGAGGGCTCCCCTGTAGAGAAACCTGAGCAGTCCTCACCAAAGCCCAGTCCAACTATTAATTTTTGTCTGGGAAAGAACACCTCCACATCTCCAACTCCGAGCAGTTCCTCCAAAGTCAGCGTGTCGTTCTCTTTTGCCAAGAAAGCCCCTGTGAAGTTGGAGACTGCTGCTGCTGTGTTTGCTGATCATGGTGAGGAGGCAATGGAGGAGGAGGAAAATCAGGAAGGAGAAAAAGCTGCAGAACAAGAGGAGGTGCCGGGCTGCAGCACAGACAGTCCTGAGGGAGAACCTGAAGTAGGTGAAAGAGGAGAGAAAGGTGGTGCAGGAGGAATGGAGGAGGTACAGCAGCCTGATGACGGATGCTCATTAGCCTCAACTCTCAATAAACTTAAGACGATGATGACGATGAAACGAGAGGAAGGGTTTACAGGACAGGAGCCTCAGTACTATCACTATGTACCTCCAGCCCACTGTCGGGTAAAGCCCAACTTTCAGTTTTTGCTCTTTATGAAGGCAACTGAACAGTGCCAGAGCAAAGAAGACGATGACGAGGAAGAGGTCCCGGAAGAAAAAGTGGCTGAAAAAAGTTCTGACCAGCCGGAGCGTAAAGCTGCTGAGTGCAAAACTGAAAAAGAACAAAGTGATGACGCATCAGCTGCTGATCCCGAGCCGGCTCCTCTGTCACCTAAAGTAAAGACGGATGAAAATGCGTCTTCTAGTGCTGTAGACACGGCTTCCACTGTTCCCACTTCTCCTACGCAGAAGATGGAGAACACACAGGATGTAACGGAGTCAAACACTGGTCCGAAAATCCCCACTGGACCGTTTTTTCCAGTTCTGAGCAAAGATGAAAGTACGACCCTACAGTGGCCTACAGAGCTGCTTGAATTTACAAAAGCTCAACCCTCCCTGTCGTACAGCTGTAACCCTCTCTACTTTGACTTTAAGCTGTCCAAAAACAGAAGACTTCATGGTGTAAAAGCAGCAAAGTCCCCGAAGATTTCAGAAAAACCTGAAGACAAGGGCCAAAAGGTGGAAGCTGCAACAGCTGAAGTAGAAGCAACACCTGAACCTGAAACAAGCACCGACAAAGATAAGCCAGAAATAAAGGGTGATCCCAGTAAGTCAGAAGGTGTTGAGCAGAAACCTGCGACTGCTGGCAGTAGTGTGAAGAAGAAAAAGAAGAAGAAGAAGCATAAGAAGTCTGGAAAGCATTCGAAGCACAAAGGGAAAGAAAAAAACTCTGAAGAAGCTGCCGGGGAAGGGACGGAAGTAGCGCAAGAAAAACCCAAAAAGAAAAAGAAACGCAAACGAAAGAAGAGCAAAAACAAGGTTCAAAATCCAGATGAGGCAGCTGGTGATGAAAAGGGAAAGGGTAAGTCAAAGCCAGAAGATAAAACTGTTGGCACTTGTGTTCAGATGACAACTGGCGGGGGAGCAGAACTGGGCAAGAGAAAACGTGCTGCAAAGGAAGTGCCTTCCAAGTCTGGAGTAGAGCATGGGGGAACGGGGAAAAGTAACGACAAGGCCAACCCCTCTGAAGAACACAGCAGCAACAAGAAACAAAAAACTGACTCTAGTGCATCCCAAAGTGCCTCTTGCTCCGCCTCCGCTCAGAAGAGTCCTGGTCACGGTAGACATCCCAGCAGTGACAGTGAAGAAGAAGGTGGCTCCAACAACCAGCGCTCGCGTCATCACAAGTCGAGTCCACAGGAACAGCGGCGCCATCGCAGCCAAGAATCTCGGCGATCTTGCAGCCGCTCTTCAAGACGAGGTGAAAAACACGGCAGTAGCCGTCGGCACCGTCGTGGTCAAACCTCTTGTAGTCGCACGTATTCGAGCAGCTCGGAGCGCTCCTCGGCAGGAAGCAGCACGTACAGTCACCGAAGCCGCAGCTACTCGGACAGTTACAGCGACTACAGCACAGAAGGCCACAGACGAAGGCACTCGAAGCGTTCGTCGGACTCCGAGTATGAGCGAAGGGGCAGTCGAGGACGTAGGCGGTCCAGAAGACGTCAGTACACCTCATCCTCCTCAGAGGACTCCCGCTCACGATCACGTAGCTACAGCCGGAAGAAGAGGCATCGGCGGCACCACCGCAGCAGCTCGAGAAGTTCCAGTAGCTGGAGCCACAGCACTAGTAGATCGTGGAGGCGTAGCTACAGTAGAAGCCGAAGCTCAGGCAGCCGCTCCTCTAGTTCAAACAAAGGCTCCCCTCACAGACGAAACACCAGGGGCCAAGCGGACAGCGACACAGTTCGCAGAGACTTCAACCGCTCATGCATCTACCGCTCCCAGTCTCCACGTTCATCACTACGAGGCCTTAACCGCAACACCCATTCATCCACCTCTCAGGCTTTGAGGCCAGGGGGGTCCCGTGATGCAAGGGAACAAAAAAATATGCTCACTGCGCGCCAGCTGCTGGAGAAAGTTCAGTCTAAAAAGAGTTCAGAGGACACTACCACCGGAACAAAATCTGGACTTAAGATTAAGGACCCACCACAGGGCTATTTTGGTCCTAAACTACCCCCAACCCTGGGAAGCAAAGCCATGCTGCCACTTTTTGGCAAGCTGCAGGCAGGAAAGAAACCTTTGTTTCCTCTAACCAGACCTGACGAGGGCGAGAAATCAGGCGCAGGGAAGGGCTCTGACACAGATGGAGAGGTTATCCTTGTTGAGCCCATAAGGGAGTTTCCTCCTCCGCCACCTCCACCAGCCCCACCTGTCCAGAAGGTTGAGGAGGCCCCTCAGACTACAGTAACACAAGAGGAGACTCAACAGCACACCATTGCAGAAAACCAGGTACACCAAGACCCCCAACCAATGTTTGACCAGGAGCCTTCCATGATGATGCCCCAGTATCAAGGAGAGCCAGGACAAGACCCTTCCCAAAACTCCATGATGGAGTCCCTCATGCCTGAAATGCAGCAGCAGCCTCCGTTGCATGCCTACCCTACTTACCCACCCCCCAGTCTGGAGGAGGATGGAATTGAGGCAGAGGAGGATGGACTGGCTCCTTTAGAGAGTCAGCCGATCACCTTCACACCAGAGGAGATGGAGAAATACAGCAAGCTGCAGCAGGCTGCTCAACAGCACATTCAGCAGCAGCTTTTGGCTAAGCAGGTCAAGGCATTTCCTTCAGCTGCTGCGGCTGCAGCCGCCGCTGCAGCAGCTGCTGCCAACATGGCCCCAGCCCCTCCCCCACAAGCCCTGCAGCAGATCCACATCCAGCAGCCAACCGTCTCTGTAGCATCAGGCACATCCATCACCACTGTGCAGCACGCCATCTTGCAACACCATGCGGCCACGGCTGCAGCAATGGGCATCCACCCAGCACATGCCCACCACCCTCACCCTGCGCATGCACAGTTGGCCCAAGTGCACCACATCCCCCAGCACCACCTTACCCCCATCTCCCTGTCGCCTTTGGCCCCCTCACTGGGTCATTCTTTGGGACACTCGCTGGGCCATGCAGGACTGATTCCTGCTCATCACACTGCGTTCTTGTCTGGTCAGCCCATACACATTATCCCTGCTTCTGCGCTTCACCACACCCCGTTAGCGCTCCACCACGTCCCCCATGCAGCTCTTTATCCCACACTGTTTGCACCTCGCCCCTCCCAGGCTGCTGCTGCAGCAGCAGCTCTTCAACTCCACCCACTCCTGCATCCAATTTTCTCAGGACAGGACCTTCAGCACCCACCTAACCATGGCTCTTGAGTGATTATAGAAGTGAAATGGGACATTTAAAGCATTCGTCCACTGAAGCAGGACACCTCTGTCTTGGGTTAAGGGTTTGCAACATCAAGGAGGCAGTTGAACATAAAGGACCCTGCACGGGGTCTTAAAATCAACACTAGGATTTTCTTCTGATTTATGTCGCTTGGTTTGTTCCCCCCCCCCCATAAGTTTGGATACTGGTTGTAATGTACAAAAACTTTGTCTTGGAAGTGACCGTTTCAGCTGACAGTGCATCGATAACGATAAACCACTGGATTTTTTTGTTCATCCTTGACTTTTTCCACCTTTTCTAATTTTGACGCTCAAATTAACTGCGTCTATAAACTGAAATATGTTAACAAAAAGTGGTTTTGCTGCAGAAATGAACAACTTCAACTGTGATTTACTTTAATTACGTTTTCTGATTCAGTTCCAGTTTCCATCTGACAACCAGTTCTGTTTGATTCTTGGTCTCGGACTAATTGCTGTAAGTTGCTCAAACATCAGTGCGTGATGTGAAAACCAACGTTGACGTGAAATGACAGGTCTGTCCAAACTGGCACGGTGTCATAAGTCTCTCTTAAGTAGGACAAATGTGTTGCAAGGGTTTTAACATCCTGAAAACTCCTTTTAAGGCAGAGCTCCTGTTTGAAGAAACGTGAATGAATTGCACTGAAATATGTACATGGAGATGCATTTTGCATCATGTAACAATAAGATTGTAGTATACTGCAATAATTGTATTTTTGTTTTAAATTATTTTCCATGTGCTCTTCAGAAGAAGGGCTGTGTTTGGCTTGTGTGTAATTTTGTAAATAAAGTGCTGTAGATTAACCTTTTAACATTCTTAAGAGTTGAGATTGCTACTGATTAAAAACGTTAGGTTGCATAGAAGTTGGGTGAACATGTATTTTATCGAGGTCGTTTCTAAATCTTCCCTGCGAACGCTGGCCGGGGCGGCAAACAAGTAATCTGTCAAAAAAAACAAAAAAAAACAACTGTATTTTTTAAAAACCTTAACTCCGTTTCAGCAAATAAAATCTTTGAGTCCATGTGTTGTTGTTTTTTCCTTTAAACATTTAAACTTCTTCCAGCCTACAAAATATTAGCAACAAACGCTCGTGACCCCAATTATTGACTGTTTAAATATGCAAACATTAATAATCCTATTAACCGAGAGCCTAATGACGACACAAACAGTATTAACAGTGTTCCACTTTGTTGTTCATGAACTTTTTATTTCTTTGTAACAGTTTTGGTGAAACTGGGCCATAAAGACGACTTTCAAAGTGGAACTGGAACTCTAGATCTTTTAAGGCCTGGGCTTGGTGTCCTGACAACAGAAGGATCCATGGAGCAGATATCAACAGTAGATGGTGCTGTAGTTACTCTGAACGATGCTTGTGACCAGTTGAAAGAAATGTTAAAGCTACTTGGAATGAGAATGTCTAATAAACAGCATGAGGACCATTAGGATGAACTGTGACCAGTTCTGGTTCTTGAGGGCCACAAACCTGCAGGTTTCGTCTCTTTCTCTGCTTCAACCGGATTTCATCAAATGGGTTGAGGTTTTGCAGAACTTTGAAGATGTGCTGAAGAGATAATTCAGCCACTGAATCGTGTCGCAGCAGGTAAACTAAAACATGAGGTGATCCTCAAGGACCAGTACTAGTCCCACTGTATTAGGTGAATACAGGTAATGATTAAATAAAAAAAAAATAAAAAAATTTAACACCAACATTCTGGGTTTTCTTACTGTTAAAAAATGTAAACGCTCTTAACCTTTTTAAGCTCCGTTATAAAAAATGAATAAATTCAATATTTCTGGAACAATTGCAGCAAAAGAGCAGATTTTCTGATTGACATGTGGCATCAATAAGCAGCTGTCAGATGAAGATTGGGAAGGATTACCGTACTGGGGAACAAACCAGATTTAGCATAGTGTGCTGATGCTACTTGTAAGTCAGACAATAAAACTGGAAATGCTAGAAAGTTCAAATGATAAATAATTTTGTGTTGCTTCTGCAATGTTTTTCCCACAAAAAATGCACATGTTTAAAAGACTAGAGGTTTTGGTCTATGATGTCATTATTTTCCCACTACATTTAATTGTGCTGTTAGACGATTAGTCTTAGGCAGTTAAACCACATTTTACATCAGACGATGGAAAACAAAGGAGTTCATGTGTTTTTCGTTCAATAAGTGATAAGACATGTGGAACTCTGAGCATGTTCACATTTGGATTCCTATATTTGTAAATGATAAGATTAATGACAAATTAAGAAACAACCGTTTTCCACTGTGGGAAAAGGAGAAGTCACGAGAATGATTTACAGTATTTACAGTGGTTTATGTAAAGAATGGATGTCTGGCTGTGAAATATACGGAAAGTGACAAACTGATCAACAGAAAAGTTACACTCGGCTTTTAAGTAAAGTAAAATACTGTCTGGAAGGAGGATCTTCCTCCATTGCCATTTAACAATGAAAGTCAAATGGTGGTAATCCATTTACAAAAAAGTAAAGTATAATTGCACCATTTATAAAAGTGATTTTAAAGTTAAAATTCATATCATGTGGGATGGCACACTGCTGAAATGTCCTCGACTGGTCAGTTGGAGATGGATGGATGACGGTCAGCCCAGGTATCTGATGACCAGGAACATAAAGATGCAGGTCAGCAACATCCCTCCGATCATGATGAACTTATCCTGGGTGGCTCGTCTTTCTATAAACCTCATCACCGTATTGGAGAGACCCAACATGTTGGCAACATCCAGCATCTTCTTATGTGTCCCCTGTGGAGCAAAAAGTGCAACAATGACACGACGACCAGCACAGTATAATTATCTGCACTAATTCATCTGATGTTGGGAGTGCCCTCCCTGACGCGCCACTCCATCAGAAGTTTCTCATGACGGGGACCGTCAGGCTGTGAATGCTGATCAGCAGTCACACCCTGATAAGAAGAGCCAAACCAGGAAGCTCGTCTCCTCCCTGGAAATTAGGCCTCACCCACCCACTTCAAAAAGGCTCAGGAACAATGAGACAATTGTGGACAACGTGGACACCAAACACCGAGTCAGAAGATGGAATGTGCAATCCCAGTTCTGAAAACGTTAAAACATTGTCTCAAATGTTTTATTTGTGCATTAAAAACAGGTCTGATTCTGTTATGGCTAAAGAATGCCCCAACTTTTTCAGAATTGGGGTTGTTAATCAACAAGTTTTTTTTTTCTTAGAACTGTATTTTTCGCTGTACACGTACTCCGCCCTATAACTTGCATCAGTCCAAATATGTCTAATAAAGTTTAAAAATCCATAAATAAGTCGCTTCGCCGTATACGTCGCATCATAATGCATCACCGCTGACGAGTCACGTTTGTTAAGTGTCACGGCTGGTGGGCCGGTGTTGTGCCAAACTCCTGACAAATAGTGGCCGTGGGAGCGTGCACTGGAGGACTTTAACAAGATAAACACTTAAAAACAATTATTTGTTTGTTTGAAATTATAGTAAATGTGTCTCAGTCTAACTTTTTGCTTAATAAATGCACTTTGACAGTCAAATCAGCTGCATTTCAAAAGCCGAAACGTGGAAGTAGGAACGTGCAGAGGGATGAGTTGTGCGTTTATTCGAAATTTAACAAGATAAACACCTAAAACAATTATTTGTTTGCTCAAAATTATAGCAAAGGTGTGTCTCAGTTGAACTTTTACTTAATAAATGCATTTTAATGGTCAAATCAGCTGCATTTCGCCGGGGCGGCGCGGTGAAATGAAGCCGATTTCACGGTTGCTCCAGATGAGCTGGACGAAGGTGGCGAGTATGGCAAGCTGATTGTGTCTTTAATAACTGGTGAAGATTCTCAGTCAAAAAGTACATAGTAAATTCAAAAAAGTTCAAGAAAAAAAAAACAAAGTATAAAGTACAATAAATAAAGTACAATAAATAAAGCCCAATTGTTTTGGTCTTGAATTTTTTTGAATTTGTCCTTATAGCCACGTTTACCTATTACATGATACAGCGGCCTGCCATACACTTCACGTGCCATCTAGCTGCTAAAATTGGTAGTGTTTAATTTTTTTCAGTCAGAATGAATGAAAAGGTCATATCTCAGCCAAAAGTTGTTTTATAAATATGGAAAAAATCTATAAATACATCACTTTGGCGTATAAGTTGCAGGTCATGTAAATTATGCAAAACAACATGACTTATGGGGTGAAAAATACGGTAATCAAGAGTGTATATAAAATCAAAATCAAAAGACCTACTGAGCAGCTACACATGATGTGAACACACCTTGAGAGTAGATCGTTGATCTCTGAGGCCGTGGAGGATGTTCGAGCCGCCGCTCAGGAGGTCATCCATGCCTCTGTGTGCGTTGTGCAAGTTGGTGTTGAACTGTAGGGTCTCGTCTATAGGGATGGATGTATCTGCATCCTGTTGGATAAAATAATTTGTTTTGTTTCACAAGAATCAGCTTGTGGGCTAATCTACCAGAGTCTCCTCACTGGCCACACAGAAAATTATAATATATATAATATAGTATATATAATATATTATAATATATAATATAGTGTTGGTGAACTTATCTGCCTACAGCGTGAGTTTGCTTTAGTTTACATCCCATAGTGCGTTTTAATGCACTTACATTTGTGGTGAAGGTGCGACTCAGGAGTTCCTCCCTTTCTCTCTCTTGGGCCTCTCTGGCGTAGCGTCGGTGCTGGAAGTTTTGCAGAGCCGATCGCAAGTGTTGAACATCGTACTTGAGTTGGTCCACTCGTCTAACGGAAATTTAAAAAAATTGCTTTTGAACAAAACCACTAGATTGTAAGCAGGTCGTATAAATGTGACAAACTAAAGCCATTCAAAAAGGATTGGAAAGTTATTTGTTAATCATAAAAAAATGTACCTAAAGATCCCTTTTGTTATTAGTCTTTGCTGCTTAACAGGGTTGATGTGAGTGCAAGTTACTTGTTAAAATAAATGCTGTTATTGTCAGTAAATTCCAATAAAAATCATAAAACACAAGACTTATTGTCTATCCTGAATGCTTATTCTTTCACAATAGCAGGATAATTAAATTGGCTCGTGTACTATTTTAAAAGCTACATGTTTTGCAATAGTAATGCAGTTTATGATGTTGCTTATTGTGTCTCAACCTAAAAACAATCCCAAGTATTTATGTAGGTTAAAGCACTTGTTTTAAATGTCATGTAGTTGGAATGATGAGGCCTGTTTTCAGCTTCACTCCAGCCCTCCATGAGACCTGCCAGGATCACAGGAGAGCTTTGGGATGGGGTGAACCGTGTCCCCTAAGGCCTGTTTACCCAAGTCAGAGATGAATCTCTGCCCGGTGCAGCAGTAATGTCGGTGATGACGGGGGCTTCTAAGGAAATGTTTTCATAGAGCCACATCGCCACAGGGCAGGAGGAGGCTGCGTGTTTTTGTCTTCTACACCCTCTCGGTCTCTTTATGAGATATACCGTAGTTCACCCTGTCAGCTCAAGAGCTTTACAGGCACTTCTGACTCACTCCGAACTCACAATTTAGCGTTCTGGCGGCGGTTTGGTGGTTCTTTGCCGGCGAGGATCTCAAGACGTTCTAGACCATTGAAAATCTGGTCAATTCTGGCCTGGAGTTCATTTTCCAGCACTGGTGATGGAGCAAAGGGGAAAACAAAATGTTAGAAGCAAAGAAAACATTCGGCAAACAGATGCATTTAGAATCAGTGACATTAATAAGCAAGAAGTCCAAAACCAATAAACATTTGACCTGGTCAAGCGGAAGTAATACATTTGTTTGAAACAATTGTATAAAGACTTTTCATGGGTGGCATTTATCTGTGAAATGGCCGTTAATAACTGTATGGACTTACGTCCTCCCTTTGGTGAAAATATGATGTCATGGTCTGTGAAAAGAACTAAGGAGGGGGCTTAACTGTATCCCACCCTACTGCTTCCTGTCCCAGCCACTGGCACCACCACAGAGAGCAACCAGTCAGAGAGGCATCAGCCCACTGCCTCTCCCAGTCTGTACATCTGAGACACCAGTACCAAACAGCCCCAACAGGAACTGGGGAGGAGTTGGCTCCACGTTTAGGAGAAGGTCGGCAGGAGGTGGCGTTGGACCAACACACGCAGCTTTAATGGCAGCTTGTTATCATCACAGCCAGAGATCATTATGGACTCACAGTGAACCGACTGACGGTCTGTCCTCTCCAGGTTTCCCATCTGAGACTGCACCTCCTGGATTTGTCTAATCCAGAACCAAAAATAACGTTACCGAACAGAAACTAAAAACATCAAATTAAAGCTTTCATCTTTGTTACATTTATGAACGTTAACAACACTGCAGAACTAATAAGTGGAGTGTCGGTGAGTTTTAACGAAACTTTAACTTGAAACACACCATTTCTTTAGTTATGAGCTAACGTTGCTAACAAAAAGCCGGCCGTTTTCACAGAAACACTCACTTGTTTGTCTGGTGGTAAAGCGTCTCCATCTTTTAAATCAACGGAATTAAACGCTTTACGTCCCCTTTCCTTAAATCCCTCCTTTATTACTACAACAACCCAATTCCGACAGGTGGCTAAGCTACCTAGCTAACCAGAGGAGTGTACACGTCATCGGCTGAGCTTTTGTGTACGGAAATGGCAAACGGAAGCCACGTGACATCTCGCGAGAACACAAAAAAAAGAAGAGCACTCACTCAGCCTCAAATTTTAGACACTCAAAACGTAACTTTCAAATTAAACTCATCGTTCTCTTCTCTTCCAGTAAATTTTCTGCCATTCTAAGCGTTAAACGTCATCAAATGTATTATTAAATTTTACAACACCATTCAATGAAATTTCTGGTCCTGTATTATTTGTACTCATGTGTGCCATTTTCTAATTAACGATCTTTGGCAAGGCAACAAACGTTTCGAGACCTTTATACTTTTATCAATGTGGAAGAGTAGCAGGCAAACTTTGACCCTCATCACATGTCATGGTATTTATTGCATTTTAAGAAGAATCTTTAAGGTTTTTATGCTCACAAATATTATAATTGCTTAGAACAAGTAATTGCTCTGCATGTCAACAAGACACGAAAAACTAAAAGCATTTGTTTTTTGTTGTGTTTTTGTTTTTTTTCATTTTGGTCATTGGATTCTTCACTTCCCAGATTAAAATCTCAGACCATAGGCTACATTTTCCATTATGCTTTATATTTTCTTAAAAGCAATAGCTGCCAGAAATGCTTTAAGAGCTACCACATAATCTGTTGACATGTAGACATGTGACAGGAAAGACTCTGTCCTGAGGCTACATTTTGTCAGCTCTCTCTCACTTGACTCTATTTTGGCTATTCTTCTTATTTCCCTCCCACAGACAGATGTCTGAACATTTCTGTTGTTCACCAAGTGGCCTCCGTCTCACCTGCAGACTGAGGCAACCAAGCAAATTGCACCCAACCTTTTAGTTTGTGATTTTTCCTCGTCACCAACTGGGTTTGACACAGAATACAGTGTGAATGTGATGTGATTGGATTTCCCAGAACAGGATTTGAACATTTCACAATAGCTTCTTGGTGATTTAATGGGAGGGAAATTGTCCCGGGGCACTGCCTGGCACTTTAGCAAAACCACAAATCAATCATTTTTACCCCAAACTTCCATCATTGCGGTGTCTGCAGGTTCAGGGGAGTAAAAACAACGAGTACACACGGAGCAGGTCAAGTAAACATCGTTTAAACTAAAGACACTGAATTTCCTGTGAAAATGCAGAGCTAAAGCCGGAGGATTTTGCTGAAAGCTGCAAAAAAAGCTGAAATTCGGTTGTTATAAAAAAGAATCAGAACTCTAGCTAAAAGTTTCAAGGAGACAAATGCTCATTAAAACCTAACAGGAGCTAAACACAAGCTTAAAACAAAAAAATAGTGAAACACTTAAAATATAGAAGAAGCAAACACTAAGTAAAAGTTAAAAGTACAAATCATTTAACAAAACTTAGTGAAATGTTTACTAAAATTTTCAAATAGCAAAACGTTATGTGAAAGTTGCAAAATGCTAAAAGTAGCAGAATGTTAGCTGAAGTGGCAAATTGCTAGCTAAAAGATATAAGTAGCAAAAGCTCAAGGGTAACACTAGAGAAACATTTGTTTAAAGCTAAAAATAAACGGCTAGCTTAAAAGTTTTAAAACACGAACTAAAAGTTAACAGTAGTAAAATCTTAACTAAAAGTAGCAAAAAGCTAACTAATGAAAAAATAGATAAATAAAAGAAGCAAAATGCTGGCTAAAAGGTAAAATTTGCTAAATGTTAGAAGTACCAAAACAATAGCTAAATGTTAAGATTAGCAAAAGGCTAATTAAAAACTAAAAGAAGCAGAAGAAGACAAAAATAGACTCGATGTGCTGAAGCAGATTTCAAAGAAAACAATGTTTTTCAAATAAATATTTCAACTTGGCTTTTATTTCTGTTGGGAAATTCTTGGGAAATAAGCCCCCAACAATTTTCAGTCAGGTCATCTGGATAGTTTCTCTTTTTTGTGCTGAAACGTTTCACCTTCCATCCAGAAGGCTTCATCAGTCAAGGAAACACACAACACAAAACCGATTCTTCCCCCAACAGCTTACTCTGAAGTGGAACAAACCAGTTCTGTTGGTGCTAAGATGAAGCCTTCCGGATCGAAGGTGAAACGTTTCAGCAATAAAAAAAAGAAACTGTCCAGATGACCTGACTGAACATTGTTGGATTGTATACCTGGATTATTGAGCATGGACTTTGTTGGCTTGGTAAATAAGGTTAAATGGTTTTGAAAAGTATTAAAATTTCAAACTGGAATGTCCTGAATGATTCAAACAATTTGACACTTGAATGATTAAAATGGCACAACGACGTATCGTAACGACGTACAGACATCTACACCTCCAGATGCAGGAAGAGAGTCACCTGCATCATGAAGGACCACACTCACCCAGCACACACACTTTTTGCCCCGCTCCCCTCAGGAAGGAGGTTGAGGAGCATTAAGTGTAGAACCACTAGACCACATGTGTCAAAGTCAAGGCCCGGGGGCCAAAAGTGGCCCTCGTTGACATCTTGTCTGGCCCCCAACATGTTATTTTAAATGTAAAATACTTTTATCACTTGAATTTTGTTCAGTCATCTTTGATCATGATGTCAAAAGTGCAACAGCGAACATCAAATGAGACCAATCAAACTCTTTCTGAGGAACCTGCAACCAAGAAAAGATGTTGGTATCTAACTTGAGCTAATGTCGATTCTGAAACCGGCCCTTAGTTTAAACAAGGTTTTAATTTTTGGCCCCCTTTTGTACGTGGGTTTGACACCCCTGCACTAGACTGAGGAACAGCTTCTACCCTGAGGCTGTTAGACTCATGAATCTCTAACTAGAATAATCACTGTGAAAAACCATATCATGTTGCTGCTGATCTGTTTCATGTTGCTGCTGATCTGTTTCATGTTGCTGCTGATCTGTTTCATGTTGCTGCTGATCTGTTTCATATTGCTTCTGATCTGTTTCATGTTGCTGCTGATCTGTTTCATATTGCTTCTGATCTGTTTCATGTTGCTGCTGATCTGTTTCATATTGCTTCTGATCTGTTTCATATTGCTTCTGATCTGTTTCATGTTGCTTCTGATCTGTTTCATGTTGCTGCTGATCTGTTTCATATTGCTTCTGATCTGTTTCATGTTGCTGCTGATCTGTTTCATGTTGCTTCTGATCTGTTTCATGTTGCTGCTGATCTGTTTCATGTTGCTTCTGATCTGTTTCATATTGCTTCTGATCTGTTTCATATTGCTGCTGATCTGTTTCATGTTGCTGCTGATCTGTTTCATGTTGCTGCTGATCTGTTTCATGTTGCTGCTGATCTGTTTCATGTTGCTGCTGATCTGTTTCATGTTGCTGTGTTAATTCGTCCTCATCTGTTCACACAGACTCATGCTCGTGCTGCTGTTCGGCGTATTGTTTTGTACTACTAGTGCTTAGTGCGTTTTTTAGGGATGCACGATATTATCGGCATGGTATCAGTATCGGACGATATTATCATTAAAGTTCAATATCAGACATCGACCACTACATCAGAATAACTCACCGATATAAAAGGCGCTGTTTTTACCTGCAGCAGCAGCACATCGTGATGATGTCACTCACGCCTACCTGATCTCACGGCGGAGAGGAAAATTCAAAATGTTGACGTGTGGAAGCTTATTTTTGTTGAGGATGTCGGATTCCAAAGATTTATGGAGTACGTTGAGCCTCGCTACATCGTCCCCAGTCAGATATTTTTCTGACGTAGCCTTACCCGAGTTACAAGCCGTCATTTCTGACGTCACTGAGAAGCTAACAGCTGATAGCACTTGGGTGAGTTTTACCACAGACATCAAGTGTTAGCCCCGTTAGCATGATTAGCCTTATGGAACAATGGACAGACAAAAACTTTGAACTTACAAAGTGTGTCCTTCATGCACAGGAGTGCAGAGGATCCCACACTGCAGCTATAGGAACCTGGAACAAACCTCCACAGGTGAGACAGCATCACAGGTGACTAATGCTAATAAATAACATTTAACACTTTTCATTTAATATAAGTTAAAGTGCTGTGCATATCATACGGCTGTTACTGAATATATGTCACCAGCTCTTACTGCTGTTGCACAGTTTTTGTAGCAAATAAGCCTAAATAAGACGCTATGTTCTGACAGAGGAAAGTACATAAAATATCAGTATCGGTTATCGGCCCAATAAGTTTTAACAGATCGGCCAAAAATCCAACATCGTGCATCACTAGTTTTTTTAGTTAAAATTTTTCTTAGTTCATATCTTAGATCTTATCACTGTTTTCTTTTATATTTTATACTTTAGTTGGATGTAACTGGACCCTGTGTACATAATTTCGTTCTACCACATGTACCACATGTGGTGCTTATGACAAATAAAGGACCTTGAATCCTTGAATCCTTGAATCAGAAAAGCCAAAAATAAAGAGACGGGATCTCTTGGGTGTGGATGCTAAATGAGCGCTCACACAAACATGTTCCTGAGCCGTGTCAGGCTCCTGTTTTCCACCGGTAGCTCTATTTGTTTTCGTCACTCAGCACAGCAATCAGAAGTTGCCCAGACAGTTTCCCGCGGCGGCCTGACGCTACATGAGCTGATGGTTGTATCTCCAGGCGAGACACTTCTCAGCAGAGGTCCTTTCCACCCACCCTCTCATGTCAGAAACCCTGAAGTCTGTTCATGTCACTTCTTGCTCTCTCTTCTCGCCATTTTTGGTTGTCATAACACGTCCCCAGGGCAGCCGTTGGACATACGCACTGCTCAGAGCAGAGACGATGCAAAAAGACAGAGGACAACGTCCCCCTCCCTGCTCAGACTTCTACAGAGCTGCGTTAGGTCACGGGGTTCTCCCTGTCTGTCCTTCATGCTTCAGCCCCGAGGAAAGGATGAGATGAGCTTACTGGTTTTCCTCCGCACCTGAGCACCACGGGCACAAACTGGATTCCAGACGCCAGGTGTTGGTGCTGGATCGCACTTCTCTGACTGACCGACAGGTCCCACATTGTTGCACCAAGTTTTTGTTTAACCAAAAGTTTCAAGAAAACATTTGGACAGTATCGGCATTTTGTGTGC